AGCAGAGAGAGAGAGAGAAGAGGAAAGAGAAAGAGAAGAACGAGAAAGAGAAAGAGAAGAACGAGAAAAAGAAGAGAGACGAGAGAGAGAAGAACGAGAACGAGAGAGAGAAGAACGAGAAAGAGAAGAGAAACGAGAGAGAGAAGAACGAGAACGAGAGAGAGAAGAACGAGAAAGAGAAGAGAAACGAGAGAGAGAAGAACGAGAAAGAGAAGAGAGACGAGAGAGAGAAGAACGAGAGCGAGAAAGGGAGGAAAGAGAGAGACAACATGAACTAGAAGTGTTGCGATTAGGCGGTGGTCGGAGGCAAACAAGGGACACCAGTAGCTTCGATCCGGTACGCAACATCAAAATGGTCCCCAAATTCCATGAGAAGGAGGTGTCAAAATTCTTTGCAGCCTTCGAGAAAGTCGCTGCCTCTTTGGAGTGGCCAAGGGAGAATTGGGCCATCATGATACAGTCAGTCTTGACTGGGAAGGCCCAAATCGCCTACTCTACGTTATCCCTTGACGACTCCAGCGATTACGATATGGTGAAGAAAGTGGTGCTCATGGCGTACCAATTGGTACCTGAGGCATATAGGCAAAAGTTCAGAAACCTGAAGAAGACCTCAGAGCACACTTTCACAGAGTTCGCCACGATCAAGGAGCGACTTTTTCAAGAATGGTGTGCCTCTCGGAAGGTGGAGACCAGGGAAGACCTCGAACAGCTGATTCTGCTCGAAGACTTCAAGGATTGTTTGTCTGGAGACCTCAAGACATACTTAGAAGAGCAGCAGGTGGAGACCTTGAGTGCAGCAGCCATCATGGCTGAAGAGTACATCCTGACTCATAGGCCGTCTGCTAAGTACGTCCCAAGGAATTACCAGCGCCGGTTCGACAGACCTCATGATGAAGAAGAAAGGCCCGTCCCACAAAGTGCTAAGAAGACGCCCCCAAGTAGCCCCCGAAGAACAAGTCCTAGCAGTCCGAAACACCGGAGCCCGAGGAGGAATATGGTGTGCTGGACTTGTGGGCAGAAAGGGCACATAGCTGCTAGGTGCCGAGGCAGAAGAGGTGGCAGCGCACGAAGGGAGGTGATGTTGATGAGCTGTGGAACATCACCAGCAGGAAGCCAGTCGACGACGACGCAGGAAGAACCCAGATTGTTTTCCCCTCACACTTCAGGCGGGTATGTATCGAGTGATCATACTGGTAGATCTGTAGTAGTGCTCAGAGATAGTGGAGCAGCCCAGTCCCTGATCATGAAGAGCTCGGTACCCGAGGGAGTAAGTGTGGACGGGAGACAAGAGGTTGTCCTGGTTGGGTTTCCAAGGACGCAGTACATCGCCCCCTTAGTGCCAGTACATCTCAACTCGCCTTATTTCAGCGGCACATGTGCGTTGGCAGTAGTCGATACCCTCCCTGTGGCTGGGATTGACGTGGTACTAGCCAACGACTTGGTGACCGATTGGAGCACCAATCGTCTCAAGGTTGCGGACGAGTCTACCGGAACAGCACGGTCTGAGGTAACAGGCAATGGTAATGTCCAGGTAAAGACAGACCCGGATTTGAACATGTCTAATTTGTCCTCTCGCCTTCAGATTGAGAACGTTCTAGCAGTGTCTCCTGATTCTCTCGACGAGGAACATGAAGTTAAGAAGGCAGAGGTACCTGAGCAAGAAGAGGGGCCTTGTGTGCGGGCACCCACGGATACCAACGAGTCTGGAGCGAAGGCGGATGTGTGCTTGCGGTATGGCAAGTTACAGCGTGTAGTGAACCAGCCAGAGACTCCCCAGACGTCAGAGGTAGGTGCGGTGTGTTCAAAAGGTCTAGTGCCCTCTTCGGTCCAAGCCAGGCGTGTGGATGTTGCCGGCTATGGACATGACAAGCTCAGGAAACTTATCCCTCGACTTACCAAATGTTTCATACCGGTATTTTGTTTTGTTCTCCTATGTGTTCTCTGTGTTCTCAGTAAGGATCAGTGGACGACCCGAAGGATGATGGCTCCCATGAACATCGTGAAGAGGTCCCAGGGATTGGAGATTAGTACTGCAGGTGTTGCAGTTGAAGGAGGGACCTGGAAGGTGATAATTGATACTGGAGGTACGACATGTGATAATAGAGTGACTGTTTCCGACAGGTTGACACCCCCCGCGTGACTGCTGAGCCTCAATGCAGCGTTATGTGGAACGATGGTCGACCTGACGGTGGCAGAGCGAATGCCACCTGCGACGTACGAACAGCCCCGTTGGGACTAGGTGTGGACCTAGTAGAGTATGCTGTAAGTACTGTTTTACTCGCGGTCGCTATCACTCTGAATTATCAGACCCCTGTATTCCAGGTTCCTGTCTCCCTGAAGGACCATCGGACCGGTACCAGAAATGCCGTCTGTGATCAGCCATCATCGATGCCACTACACAGGGAAGTGTCGAGTCGCCCCAGATCGTGTCTACACCGATCCTTACTCGAGAGATGTGAGATGATGCCCCTGTTTGCCATCGCAGAGGAGGTGTGGAAGATTACGTCAGGCAGGTCATCGCCTGCCATTTTCAAGCTCCCTTTGTGCCAGAGTTTCTCGGTAGAAAAGTTCTGTGGACAAGACAGCCTCATCACTCCAGTTCATAGGATAAGTAAGTCCATTTGGAGTTGTGTCGCCCTGCTAATTTGGTTTGTGTTTTTTATAGAACCCCAAACCAAATTCTTTTTGGTGGGGAGGTGTTACGAACCCGGATCCAGCGTCCGAGCAAGGAGCAGTAACAACTACGCCATCTGTGGGTCAGCTCCCGAAACCCCCGCCAAACGAACGACGACACCTGGTGGGACAGCGTGTACTGGCCTCGAGGACCAGTTTCCAGTCTGGTTCAACGCTCAACACCGCCGCCCCTGACCTCTGGTGAGGTGGTGCTCCGACGACAGCGCCATCTATGGACTGGATGCGTCAGGTGTTAGTATCTGAGCCTGTGAGTGTGGTGTATTAGTGTCCATTATTGATGACGTGTCTGCTTACAGAGCCGACCTGGGACCACTGTGTTGAAGGTGGAGTCAGTCTACCCGAGGCAGCCAGTCTCCATACTGTGAAGGTTGCTGCAGCTGTCGTGACGTCGTCTCCCCCGGAAGAACACTGTGGTGTGTTAAGCCTGCCAGTGGAGTGGCAGTGGAAGGATTTACCCGGGACCGACGGTTGGAGACGATATCCCCTGGGGTATTGAGGACAGTAGGGTGATTGGTGATATCACACGAGACTCCTGTCTAGGCGTACCCCTTTTATCGTTCGTGGAGTGGCCGTACCAGCCTTGGTGGCTCAGTACCTGCCAGCAGACCTGCTGGACGTGTGGTTGACGGCCTCCACGACGGTGCCCCCAGTGGACCTGTGTTGTGGCTGACCTGTGGCCAGGGTAGGCTCGGCGTTCTCAGAGGACACGTCTTGAGGCCACGAAGAAAGCACCGCGGACTCAGCACCTAGCTTCGAGGATCCATAGTCTCCAGCAGACTACAGTGTTGATCCCCTTTGTAAAGTGTTAATACCCCTCCCCCTTGTGTACGTTTTACTTTTATATATTTAAATGGTGATGGTGAACATTATATTATATTAAGTTCTTAGCTTTCTTCCCTACTCCCTTTAAGTTACTTGCTTCACGGATCTCATCCCTTGATAGCCACTACTGGCTTGGGAACGGATACATATATCTTCCTCTAACAACATCAGAGTGAGAACCCCGTTGCGTCCCGAGAGGGCCGTAACAATTATATACATAATATATTATATCATATATATATAATACAATACATAATATATATATATATATATATATATATATATTTATATATATAAAATACATACCTATATATTATATATATATATATATAAATATACATAAATATATATATATATATATATATATATTATATATATATATATATATAGAAAATATATACATATAATATATATATATAGATATATGCTATATATATATATATTCTATATATATACTAATCCTTTAATAATTAGGTAGGTAACATACATAAAGAGATTTACAAAGTTTGTTGGCTTTATAGATAGAGCTAGTACATACATGCCTAAGCCACTATTACGCAAAGCGTTTTCGGGCAATATATAATATATATATATATATATATATATATATATATATATATATGTCGTACCTAGTAGCCAGAACTCACTTCTCAGCCTACTATGCATGGCCCGATTTGCCTAATAAGCCAAGTTTTCATCAATTAATTGTTTTTTTTTTCGACTATCTAACCTACCTAACCTAACCTAACCTAACTTTTTTTCGGCTACCTAACCTAACCTAACCTATAGAGATAGGTTAGGTTAGGTTAGGTAGGTTTGGTTAGGTTCGGTCATATATCTACTTTAATTTTATCTCCAATAAAAACAATTGACCTCATACATAATGAAATGGGTAGCTTTATCATTTCATAAGAAAAAATAGAGAAAATATATTAATTCAGGAAAACTTGGCTTATTAGGCAAATCGGGCCTTGAATAGTAGCTGAGAAGTGAGTTCTGGCTACTAGGTACGACATATATATATATATATATATATATATATATATATATACATTGAAATGGCAAAGTGATATATATGGAACAGTTTGCCAGGGACGACAGTACTGACGGGGCTGGTGTATTGTTTCAAGCGTAGGCTAGACAAGTATAAGAGCGGTTGTGGTTGGAGATAGAGGTGCTGCCTTGCTGCAATATCGTCTCTTTTTTGACATTATTGCAAATTAAGAGTTAAGACTAGAGATAATTAGACGGCTGAATATTAATTAGTTTTTTAATTTGGTTGTGGGGGGGGGGGAATACTGTCAATCAGTAGTGAGGGATCTCCCTGGGCTGTTATGGTGTGTAGGGGATTGTTAATTTATCATCAGTAATACAAGGTATATGTAGACGCCTAATTCCATCTACAATAATTAAGCTGTATTGTATAAGTATGTGGTGTGATATACAAGATTGTGGTTACATGTGATTGTGGTTATGGGGTGCAGGCGGGGCGGCGGTGGGCGGAGTGGGCGGCGGCAAGACTGAGACCCTGACGAGTCTGGCGCGGGCGGCGGGGCACCACCTGGCCACCCTCACCTGCACCTCTTATACTCCCGCACAGGTACTCCTCCTTCCCTCGTCCCTCCCCCCATCTTTGTGTTCCCTCGTAACTCCCCCCCCCCTGTGTTCCCTCGTCCCTCCCCCCTGTGTTCGCTCGTAACTCCCCCCCCCCTGTGTTCCCTCGTCCCTCCCCCCCCCCTGTGTTCCCCCGTCCCTCCCCCCCCCTGTGTTCCCTCGTCCCTCACCCCCCCTGTGTTCCCTCGTCTCTTCCCCCATCCCTGTGTTTCCCTCGTCCCCTCCCCCCCCCCTTGTGTTCCCTCGTCCCTCCCCCCTGTGTTCGCTCGTAACTCCCCCCCCCCCTGTGTTCCCTCGTCCCCTCCCCCCTATGTTTCCCTCGTCCCTCCCCCCTGTGTTCCCTCCCTCACCCCCCCCTGTGTTCCCTCGTCCCTTCCCTTCCCTGTGTTCCCTCGTCCCTCCCCCCCTTGTGTTCCCTCGTCCCTCCCCCCCCTGTGTTCCCTCGTCCCCTTCCCTTCCCTGTGTTCCCTCGTCCCCCTCCCCCCCTGTGTTCCCTCGTCCTTCCCTTCCCTGTGTTCCCTCGTCCCTCCCCCCCCCTTGTGTTCCCTCGTCCCTCCCCCCCTGTGTTCCCTCGTCCCTTCCCCATCCCTGTGTTCCCTCGTCCCTCCCTCCCCCCTGTGTTCCCTCGTCCCTTCCCTTCCCTGTGTTCCCTCGTCCCTCCCCCCCTTGTGTTCCCTCGTCCCTCCCCCCCTGTGTTCCCTCGTCCCCTCCCCCCCTGTGTTCCTCGTCCCCTCCCCCCCCTGTGTTCCTTCCCTCGTCCCCGTCCCTCCCCCCCCTGTGTTCCCTCGTCCCTCCCCCCCCTGTGTTCCCTCGTCCTGGCCCCCCCCTGTGTTCCCTCGTTCTGGTCCCTCCCCCCTCTGTGTTCCCTCGTCCTGGTCCCTCCCCCCCTGTGTTCCCTCGTCCTGGTTCCTCCCCCCTGTGTTCCCTCGTCCCTCCCCCCCTGTGTTCCCTCGTCCCTGTCCCCCCCTGTGTTCCCTAGTCCTGGTCTCTGCCCCCCCCCCTGTGTTCCCTCGTCCTGGTCCCTGCCCCCCTTGTGTTCCCTCGTCCTGGTCCCCCCCTGTGTTCCATTGTCCTGGCCCCCCCCCCGTGTTCCCTCGTCCTGGTCCCTGCCCCCCTGGTGTTCCCTCGTCCTAGTCCCCCCCCTGTGTTCCCTCGTCCTGGTCCCTGCCCCCCCATGTGTTCCCTCGTCCTGGTCCCCCCCGTGTTCCCTCGTCCTGGTCCCCCCCTGTGTTCCCTCGTCCCGGTCCCCCCCCTGTGTTCCCTCGTCCTGGTCCGCCCCCCTGTGTTCCCTCGTCCTAGTCCCCCCCCGTGTGTTCCCTCGTCCTGGTCCCTGCCCCCCCTTGTGTTCCCTCGTCCTGGTGCCCCCCCGTGTTCCCTCGTCCTGGTCCCCCCCTGTGTTCCCTCGTCCCGGTCCCCCCCCCTGTGTTCCCTCGTCCTGGTCCGCCCCCCTGTGTTCCCTCGTCCCTCCCCCCCCTGTGTTCCCTCGTCCCTCCCCCCCTGTGTTCCCTCGTCCCTCCCACCCCCTGTGTTCCCTCGTCGCTCCTCCCCTGTGTTCCCTCGTCCCTCCTTCCCTGTGTTCCCTCGTCCCTCCTCCCCTGTGTTCCCTCGTCCTGGCCCCCCCCCCCTGTGTTCCCTCGTTCTGGTCCCTCCCCCCCCCTGTGTTCCCTCGTCCTGGTCCCTCCCCCCCCTGTGTTCCCTCGTCCTGGTTCCTCCCCCTATGTTCCCTCGTCCTGGTCCCCCCCATGTTCCCTCGTCCCTGTCCCCCCCCTGTGTTCCCTAGTCCTGGTCTCTGCCCCCCCTGTGTTCCCTCGTCCTGGTCCCCCCCATGTTCCCCCTGTGTTCCCTCGTCCTGGTCACTGCCCCCCCCTGTGTTCCCTCGTCCTGATCCCTGCCCCCCCCCTGTGTTCCCTCGTCCTGGTCCCCCCCCTGTGTTCCCTCGTCCTGGTCCCCCCCCTGTGTTCCCTCGTCCTGGTCCCCCCCCTGTGTTCCCTCGTCCTGGTCCCTGCCCCCCCCCTGTGTTCCCTCGTCCCTCACCCCCCCTGTGTTCCCTCGTCCCTTCCCCATCCCTGTGTTCCCTCGTCCCTCCCCCCCCCCCTGTGTTCCCTCGTCCTGGTCCCTGCCCCCCCCCCTGTGTTCCCTCGTCCCTCACCCCCCCTGTGTTCCCTCGTCCCTTCCCCATCCCTGTGTTCCCTCGTCCCTTCCCTTCCCTGTGTTCCCTCGTCCCCCCCCCCCCTGTGTTCCCTCGTCCCTTCCCTTCCCTGTGTTCCCTCGTCCCTCCCCCCCTTGTGTTCCCTCGTCCCTCCCCCCCTGTGTTCCCTCGTCCCTTCCACATCCCTGTGTTCCCTCGTCCCTCCCCCCCTTTGTTCCCTCGTCCCTTCCCTTCCCTGTGTTCCCTCGTCCCCCCCCCCCCCTTGTGTTCCCTCGTCCCTCCCCCCCTGTGTTCCCTCGTCCCTCCCCCCCCCGTGTTCCTCGTCCCTCCCCCCCTGTGTTCCCTCGTCCCTCCCCCCCCTGTGTTCCCTCGTCCCTCCCCCCCTGTGTTCCCTCGTCCTGGCCCCCCCCTGTGTTCCCTCGTTCTGGTCCCTCCCCCCTCTGTGTTCCCTCGTCCTGGTCCCTCCCCCCCTGTGTTCCCTCGTCCTGGTTCCTCCCCCCTGTGTTCCCTCGTCCCCCCCCCCCTGTGTTCCCTCGTCCTGGTCCCCCCCCCTGTGTTCCCTCGTCCCTGTCCCCCCCCTGTGTTCCCTCGTCCCTGGTCCCCCCCTGTGTTCCCTCGTCCTGGTCCCTGCCCCCCCCTGTGTTTCCCTCGTCCCTCACCCCCCCTGTGTTCCTTCGTCCCTTCCCCATCCCTGTGTTCCCTCGTCCCTCCCCCCCCTGTGTTCCCTCGTCCCTTCCCTTCCCTGTGTTGCCTCGTCCCTCCCCCCCTTGTGTTCCCTCGTCCCTCCCCCCCTGTGTTCCCTCGTCCCTTCTCTTCCCTGTGTTCCCTCGTCCCCCCCCCCCTGTGTTCCCTCGTCCCTTCCCTTCCCTGTGTTCCCTCGTCCCTCCCCCCCTTGTGTTCCCTCGTCCCTCCCCCCCTGTGTTCCCTCGTCCCTTCCCCATCCCTGTGTTCCCTCGTCCCTCACCCCCTTTGTTCCCTCGTCCCTTCCCTTCCCTGTGTTTCCCTCGTCCCTCCCCCCCTGTGTTTCCCTCGTCCCTCCCCCCCTGTGTTCCTCGTCCCTCCCCCCCTGTGTTCCCTCGTCCCTCCCCCCCTGTGTTCCCTCGTCCCCTCCCCCCCTGTGTTCCCTCGTCCTGGTCCCTCCCCCCCTGTGTTCCCTCGTCCTGGTTCCTCCCCCCTGTGTTCCCTCGTCCTGGTCCCCCCCCATGTGTTCCCCGTCCCTGTCCCCCCCCTGTGTTCCCTCGTCCCTGTCCCCCCCTGTGTTCCCTCGTCCCTGGTCCCTGCCCCCCTTGTGTTCCCTCGTCCTGGTCCCCCCCCCCCTGTGTTCCATTGTCCTGCCCCCCCCCGTGTTCCCTCGTCCTGGTCCCTGCCCCCCTTGTGTTCCCTCGTCCTAGTCCCCACCCCCTGTGTTCCCTCGTCCTGGTCCCTGCCCCCCCTTGTGTTCCCTCGTCCTGGTCCCCCCCCCGTGTTCCCTCGTCCTGGTCCCCCCCTGTGTTCCCTCGTCCCGGTCCCCCCCCCTGTGTTCCCTCGTCCTGGTCCGCCCCCCTGTGTTCCCTCGTCCCTCCCCTGCCCCGTGTTCCCTCGTCCTAGTCCCCCCCCCTGTGTTTCCCTCGTCCTGGTCCCTGCCCCCCCTTGTGTTCCCTCGTCCTGGTCCCCCCCGTGTTCCCTCGTCCTGGTCCCCCCCTGTGTTCCCTCGTCCCGGTCCCCCCCCCCCTGTGTTCCCTCGTCCTGGTCCGCCCCCCTGTGTTCCCTCGTCCCTCCCCCCCTGTGTTCCCTCGTCCCTCCCCCCTGTGTTCCCTCGTCCCTCCTCCCCTGTGTTCCCTCGTCCCTCCTCCCCTGTGATCCCTCGTCCTGGCCCCCCCCTGTGTTCCCTCGTTCTGGTCCCTCCCCCCCCTGTGTTCCCTCGTCCTGGTCCCTCCCCCCCTGTGTTCCCTCGTCCTTGTTCCTCCCCCCTATGTTCCCTCGTCCTGGTCCCCCCCCATGTTCCCTCGTCCCTGTCCCCCCCCCCTGGGTTCCCTAGTCCTGGTCTCTGCCCCCCTGTGTTCCCTCGTCCTGGTCCCTGCCCCCCCTGTGTTCCCTCGTCCTGGTCCCTGCCCCCCCCCCGTGTTCCCTCGTCCTGATCCCTGCCCCCCCCTGTGTTCCCTCGTCCTGGTCCGCCCCCCTGTGTTCCCTCGTCCTGGTCCCGCCCCTGTGTTCCCTCGTCCTGGTCCCCCCCCCTGTGTTCCCTCGTCCTGGTTCCCCCCTGTGTTCCCTCGTCACTGTCCCCCCCTTGTGATCCCTAGTCCTGGTCTCTGCCCCCCCTGTGTTTCCCTCGTCCCCCCCCCCCTGTGTTCCCTCGTCCTGGTCCCCCCCTGTGTTCCCTCGTCCTGGTCCCCCCCCCTGTGTTCCCTCGTTCCACCCCCCCTGTGTTCCCTCGTCCCTCCTCCCCCAGTGTTCCCTCGTCCCTCCCTCCCCTGTGTTCCCTCGTCCCTCCCCCCCTGTGTTCCCTCGTCCCTCCCCCCCTGTGTTCCCTCGTCCCTCCCCCCCTGTGTTCCCTCGTCCCTCCCCCCCTGTGTTCCCTCGTCCCTCCCCCCCCCCCCTGTGTTCCATCGTCCCTCGTCTCTTCTGCCCTGTGTTCCCTCGTCCCACCACCCTGTGTTCCCTCGTCCCTCCCCCCCCTCTGTTCCCTCGTCCCTCCCCCCCCCCCCTGTGTTCCCTCGTCCCTCCCCCCCCCTGTGTTCCCTCGTCCCTCCCCCTGTGTTCCCTCGTCCCCCCCCCCTTGTTCCCTCGTCCCTCCCCCCCCCTGTGTTCCCTCGTCCCTCCCCCCCCCCCTGTGTTCCCTCGTCCCTCCCCTTCCTGTG